TGCCCGCTGAAGCAGTTCAGCAGGTTTAGGGTTCAGTGGGCCATCGTCAGTTGCTCTACATGAGAGGCTGTTTGATCTCTTGGCAGTCTCAGGAGTTCCGCAGTCTACTAACATAAACATACGTGACAGGGTTTGGGGTTTAGGGTTTAGGGTTTAGGTTTTAGGGTTTAGGGTCCTTGTAAAGAAGGGCGATTATTCCAAAAGTAGGGTTTGCTCAGCGAGACTCACGTGAAGAGGATAAGTTGAAGTTAGCTGGCGGTGTTGGACTTTTATAGGGGTTAAGCTATATGGGTAGTTCTCTAAATTAGGGTCGCCTTTAGGGTCCTTTTATAAGAGTGCCGCACTATATTGGTGATAAAAGAAAGGGTACCCTAATTTAGAGAACTACCCATATGGTTCGTGCTGTACTCGAAACCTACTTGTCGCTACAAACATACCCAGGCCTAAGTGGATATCTTTCTTGGATATGCACAACTTAGTAGTCGAGTAAGTAACTGGTAACACGTTTGCATAGAAACCCTAGTTAACCCTAAAAGAAAAACTGCTACATCGGTGGCAAAGACTTTTATTTTCCAAGCAAGATCGGGCTCGGAATGCTTAGTAGCTATCCCTTTCTCCTTGCAGTCCCTCTACAACTTTTCGGCAACTATGCTATTTCGGCACTGTAGTGACTGTAGTGTCCACTGTACTATGCCCCCCAACACCCTAGTCTACTGATCAAGATGTCCATCTTACCCCTCTGAGAGGGTCTGGAGCCTTGAAAGTAGATAGTAAGCAGACTAATAATACTTATACTTAGTAGCTGAATGAGCACACGTTTATAAGTTGTTTGGGAGCAGATGATCCTTTAAGGGGCTGAAAGTGTACACGTCATTGTGGCTTGTCGGTCAGTATCCAGAAGTGGTGCTGCGCTACGTTGTGTTCGTCTCACATGAACACGAATGCTGTGTGATGATGATGTACTCAGCAACTAAGTATAACTACTTACCTTAAACCTTAAACCCTAAACCCTAAGCCCTCAAAAAACAAACGTAAACCCTAAACCCTAAACTACTTACTAGGTCCCCCCACCCTCCAAGCTCTCCTTGGTTTTGGGGAGCTTGGGGGTTTACTAGGATGCTTAGTTGTAGCCTTTCCTACTTATTGTTGGGTTTAGGGTTTAGGGTTTAGGGTTTCCTACTTTTTTTTGGGTGGGTATTGGTTTAGGGTTTAGGGTTTCCTACTTTTTTTGTGGGGGGGGGGGGTATTGGTTCCTGATAGAGTATGACTAACCCAGAAAAGTATATTAACTTTTTCCCCAGTTGGTTGCTGAACAGCTTAGTTTAGGGTTTTGGGGTTTAGGGTTTCGAGAAACCCAACCCGCCTGTTTTCTCATGACGTGAAGGGTTTTGGTTTTTGGGCTTGATGGACAGAACCATATGGGCAGTTCTCTAAACTAGGTGCGTGTTCAGATGCCCAAAATGGTCCGGCATCCTGAGGAAAAGGACCCCCAAAATGACCCTAATTTAAAGAGCTACCCATATACTAAACCCTAAACCCTAGACCCTAGACCCTAAACCCTACAGGTCCAGGGTTCTAGGTGTTTAGGGTTTAGGGTTCTGGGTGGTGAGGATTTAAGGTTTAGGGTTCTAGATGCTTGGGGTCTAGGGTTTAGGGCTCTTAGGGCTTAGGGCTGAACCGTTGTAGGTGTTTCGGGTTTAGGATTCTACTGCAGGAGTGCAGGTTTCGAGTTTCAGGGGGTAGGACTTGTTTAGGGGGTTTAGGCTTAATGTAGGAACCTGATTAAGAAACAATGGCCGTACAACCCCCAAAATAATAGGACTCCTACCCTAAACCCTAAACCCTAAACCCTAAACCCTAAACCCTAAACCCTAAACCCAATCCCCAATAAACACCCAGGGTTCCTGAATCAGTTTCCTATATTAGGGTTTAGGGTTTTTCTCCTGAACTCGCATGTAGGGCCGGAGGCTGGGATCCCTGGGCTTAGGGTGTTAGGGTGTTAGGGTGTTAGGGCGCTAGGGTTTAGGGTTTAGGATTTAGGGTGTTAGGGTTTAGGGTTTAGGGTGTTAGGGCGTTAGGGTGTTAGGTCGCTCGGGTTTAGGGTTTAGGATTTAGGGTGTTAGGGTTTAGGGTTTAGGGTGTTAGGGTGTTAGGGCGTTAGGGTGTTAGGGTGCTAGGGTTTAGGGTTTAGGGTTTAGGGTTTAGGGTTTAGGGTGTAGGGACAGCCGAGGAAACCACAACAACGATCACCTCCACGACCACGACCACCACACGCCTCACGACGACCACAGCAAACGCAGCTGGGCTAGACAACCTTGCGGTTCCCTGATGGTGGCTTACTTACAACATGTCAAGCATAGTAGCTGAATGAGTACGCCTTAAACTTTTGGGGAATATGATTCCTTATAGATCTGAAAGTGTAGACTTTTTTGGTGCCTAGGAACTCAGCAACTAAGTATAAGGGTTTCTCTAGCTTCGGGTTCAGAGGTGTTGGGCTTTTGGAGGGTTTAGGGTTCAGGGCTTTGGGTTTCACGGTTTTTGGACGCAGGGTTTTAGAGGGTTTAGGGGCTTGGTGAGGGTTACTGTAAAGGAAACCCTAAACCCTAAACCCTAAACCGTGGCTCTGGCCCTGTAGCTTCGTTTTTGCTAGTACTGCCGCTGCCGTAAAGAACGGTGCCTTCATGGATCCTGCGTAGGAAGGATTCCCCTGCACCTTCCCGGTTTAGGGTTTAGGGTTTAGGGTTTAGGATTTAGGGTTTAGGGTTTAAGGGAGAGCCCAATTCCCCTTGAATAAAGAATATGGCTTAACTTATAAGGGGCTTCATATTATGATTTAAGATAGATTCCTCATTTAGGGGGTATTGGGCTCTCTGGGTGTATTCTCCTGTCATCAACCACCGCAACGGGCCGTAGGGTTGATGGCTGAGGGTGTAGAGTGTACTTGGAGGGTCGGGGGACTTAGTAAGTAATTTTAAACGCTTCGCGTCGTCCGCCTCGGCCCGGCCGCAAACAAAGAGGGCCAACGAACTGCTGGTGCTGAAGGCGCCGTTGGCGGAGCGGATGAGGGGAAGGGAGGAGATTGCGTTCGGCGGCGCGTCAAAGGGGGGGAGCGGATGGGGAAGGGAGGAGAAAAGAAAGTGGGGGGGGGGG